CGACCTCTTGGTAATAGCCTGTGGGAGACTCGAGGTCGAAGACGTTAGGGAAGACGAAAGCTGGGCGTCCGTCCGGCCTGGGAGCAAAGGCCACCATCTTGAGGTCCTCCTTTCTGGGGTTGTCCGTCTGCAGCATGCGCAGGAGGCCTCGCTTCTTGTCTCGGAGCCTCTCGCACCAGGTCGCCCACAGCTCTTCCCACAACTCGTAGACAAACTTGGGCGGGAAGGCGTGGTCGTCCTTCTCACACTCCCGTGCGAGAGTCTCCAGGCAGCCCAGACGCTCCTTGACGTGCTCTCGCCCGAAGACAAGCCCGAAGAACCTGGTCATGTTCTGGGCCTGCCGCTTCCACTGGTCGAAGACCACGGGGGCCCTGGGCCTGGACTCCAGCTTGGTGTCGTGTGGCGCGCTGTACCTGTCGAACGCGATCGTCTTGCAGGTCGGGAAGTCCGCCACAGACGCCGACCACGGAGCCAGGTTGTCCAGGCTGCTACCGCCGAAGCTTAGCGAGGCGCACGCCATTGCGATCCGATTGGACACCGTGGTGGGCGTCTCGACGGCGAGCATGAGGGCTTTGTTCTGCTCGCAGGTCCGGCGCAGAGCGTAGAACAGCTCGCGTCCGAGGACTTCGTCGCAGACCTCCACGGTCAGCTGGCCGCAGCCGCGCGCCAGGTAGACGTCCAGCTCCTCGGCCCGTCCCAGCGCCGCCACCGTCCCACGCGGGGCTGCCTTGTCGCCCTGCCGGGCGTTGGCAACCCCTTCCAACGCGTGGAGCATCCTGGCGGTGTTCGCGTCCAGCGCTTCCCCGGGCTGCACGAGGCCGAATGGGTCGGCACTTCCACTGCCCTCGCGGGCCCCAGCAGCGTAGCGTGCTGGTGCTGTGGTCAAACCTGGGGGCAGGCCCAGGTCACTGACGTGCTGGTCGTAGCAAAACAGGGACCTGATGTTCGGCGCCTGGGGGCGGACGACCGGGCCCAACCCAGCAGTGGTAGCTGGGGGGCCGGCGTCCCGTTGTCCGACGGGGAAGGCCGGCAGGACGACAGCTGGCGAGAGTGATGGGTGTGCTTCAAGTCGGGGCGCGCTGTCGGCCGTGGGGGCCGGCGGCCCCTGTGAGCGGTGGTGCTCGGGTGAGAGCTTGAGGAGCTCTTGGAGGCTGTTAGGCGATGCCTCGGGGGTCTGCGGTCGCGAGGGCGCCTGCTGGAGCACCTCCCAGCTGCCAATGTGCCCATCCAGCCGTGCGAGCTCCTCAGGCTCATTCGTCTGCTGCTTGAGGTATCGAGCATGTCGGATGAGGCCGGCGAGCACCTGCTGGGCTTCCTCCCCGAAGCCAGCAGCCACGCTCTGCACAGCGGCCGCATCGCTTGACCCACGGGCCTTCTCCTCCAAGTAGCAGGCCATCATGACTCCTCCCTCATCTCCCTGATGACTATCTCCTGACGCGGGCGCCTCAGAGCTGGCTGCTCGCCCGCCCTCGGCTGACGGCGAACGAGAGTTCCTTCTTGTTGAACCCGAGGGTGGCCGGGGCGAACTGCTGCGATCGAGCCGCCGCCAATGGCTGCGCAGCTTGGCGTCCGCCTCGGTGGCCTGCGCCTCGAAGCTCGGACTGGGTGCCACGCCCCCCTCAGGGTGCCACTTGACTAGGTCGACCACCTTCTCCTTGAGCAGCCGCCAGCGTGCCTCGCTGAGTGGGCCGGCTCGGCCACCCACGGGCAGACCATGCCAAGCTGCCAGCTTGTTCCAAACCTTCTCGGGTACGTTGGTCGCCGAGACGCCGATGCCGAGCTCCTCGCATCCCAGGGGTGCGTGGTGGAGCAGCTCCTCGATGAACCCTGCGGGTGGGCGTCCGGAGGGTCCTGGAGACGGCGCACGGATGACGCCGTCGGGCTTTACGAGGAAGCGGATGGTGACGCCTGCTGGGTCTGCCACCTCGAGCGCCAGCGCACCGTCGAAGTAGTCGGCCACCGTGCTGGCCGCGACGGCATCGACTGCTTTCCCTCTGAAAATCATCCACTGCGCCCCCTCGGGCCAATGCACCCTCGCCCGTAGGATGAAATGTTGTCCAAGGGGCATAGGCGGCTGTGTTGGCGGCTGGGGGCAGCCCGGAACCGGCGGCGCTTCGAAGCGCACGCTCGGTGGTCCAGCCGGCGACGGGACGGGGTCGCCCGGGCTGGAAGGCGCCTCTCGCGCGGAGGGCGGGGGTGCGGTGCGCTCAGGAGTGCGGCTCCTGGCTGGGTCGGCCGCCCGCTCTGGTGTGCGGCTCCGTGCTGCAGGGCTCCGCCGAGCTCGACGCCGTAGTCCTGCGAGGAACCCGACTCCTGCTGGGTTGTCGTGTATTGCACGGGCTGCGTCACCCCCAAGGTGTTGCAGACAGAGAGGAACCCCCGAGGCCATGCCCACCGCTTCCCGGAAGCAGGTCACCTGAGAGCACTTCTCACCGTAGCGCAGGACCATGTAGATCTGCCGGTGGTGCTCGCAGAGGCAGGCCGTTGCGCTCCCCTCACTCGGGAGAGGGAGGTCCGAGGCCCGCCCGTCCTCCACCAGCAGCACGGTGGGGTCCCCTCGTGCCGCATCTCGACAACCCTCGGGAGCCAGTGGGCGCATCTTACCCTTGATCATAAGCCCCACTTTCACCGCCTCGCAAGGGTTGTCCTCGGCATCTACCTCGGACTCGGACTCCTGGTCAAGTAGTCTTGCCACTGACCCCTGCACGCCAGGCTCCGCATCGCCAGATTTAGGACGGCGGCGGCGCCGGCGGCAGAGGCATGCCCCACAACATGAGCACCACGAGAGGATGTACAATAGCAACTTGTAGACGAGACCCGTCCCCCTCCAGAGCCAGACGAAGATCCGGCAGGGCGTGAACTTCGAATAGTCGCCGAGGTCCACGATGGCCTCGTTGTCGAGGGCCGCGTACTCCTTGCAATGCAGCTCGTTCTCGCGCCCCTTGCACCCAGTACAGCTCGAAGAGCGGCACAGGTGAAGCCAGCGAGGATCCCGTTGCTCCAGCTCGCGCCGGAAGCTCTTGTCGCTAGCACCCTTCACGGAATCGTATTCCACCCACAATCCTTGGCGGTTGATACGCTCAGGAGACTTCATGTTGAGCTTGAGCCAGGCAACCCTGTAGTCCACCCGGATCAAGAGGTCGTTCTGGCCGCGCTTGGAGCCCCGGCCTTCCTTGATGCTCTTGCGATACCAGTCAGTCGTCGGGTCCGCCCCGGTAGTCGGCCCATGCCACACCACGTCGGTGAGCGGCGGGGCCGCCGGCGGAACCAGCTTGTCGAGCTTGACTTCGCCAGGCGTGCGGCGCCTCGGGCAAGGGCAGCATGCCAGCACCAAGCCACAGGTCCAGGCCGCCCAGCTGCAGGGCGCGAAGAGCGTCCTCAGGCTGTGGGCCAAGAGCGCGACCATCCCGGTGCCGGTGAAGACCGCCACGAGCCCGGCGATCAGCGGCCAGGCGGAGCCGAACAGGGTGAGGCCCATCTGGTCCGTCATGTAGAGCACCCAGCCACCTTCTGAGCTACGCCAACCTCCTGCCTCGCGAGTCGAAAAGGCAGACTTGAAACTCCCCACGGCTCTGAAGGTACCCCCACCCATCCCCTCGGCAAACCAGTAGGTGCGGTTGCCGATGTCCTTCCAGCTGACACCGAAAAGACCCCAACCTCTGATCCAGGACGTCGGATCCCCATCGGGGGGGTCAGGGGGTGGGTGGGTCGGGTCCTGGGGAGGGGGCCCAGCCGGCGGCGCGGAGCGCTCGCGCGGCGGTCCCCCTCCGCTGCTTCCTGCAGGTGCGGCGCGCCCGCCGGTAGTGGAGACCCCGTCCGGCGGCGCGCCCGCGTGCATCGAGGGGTCCACGGGCGCATCGAGCCAGAACTCCCTCATGTCCACGTTGTCGTCGTAGTACGCGGCCTCGGCCTCGGCGTCGGCCTCGGCGATCCCGACGATCATCGCGAAGATCAGCATCAGGGCTGCCACGCGCCCGCGGCGCCGGCCGACCGGCGGCGGCGGCTGAGCCTTGGGGCAGCTCCCCCGGGCGGGCTCCGGCGCGCATGCGCCACTCGCGGCTCCCGCCTGGCACTGCGCCAGCGCCGGCGCGGGCTCGCGCCTGGCTGCTAGCTCGTCGGGGGGGCTCGGCGGCCCCGCCTCGACGGATGCCACCTCGCCCCTGGGTGCTCCGCGGCTGGCGTGAGCCGGCGCCGCTCGGCGCCCAGGCCCCCCACCGCTGCGCAGCTGCGCGCCCGCGGGCGGCGACGCTGCCGCCCACCAGCCGCGCGGCGCCAGGCGCGGCATCGTGCGGCCGCGGGCGCCCCTGCCAGGCCTGGACCCAGGCCTGGGAGTCTTCTGGCCCCTCCGGGGCCCGGCCTTAGGCCAACTGAGGCCGACCCCCAGCTTGGCCTTAGAAAGGCTTGAGCCGCGGAGCGGCGGTGAAGAGAGAGGGAGAGAGAAAGGGCAAGCAAGAGGCAAGGGCAGGAGCAAGGGAACCGCAAGTGGAAGCCCGCGCCAGTTCTGGGGACGGGGAGATCCATCAGTTTTACCAAACATCCTATTGCTGCACCCATGGGGGGGTCCAAGGCTGAAGTGCCACGCTTGCGACATCACGGTGGTCATGAGGCTCTGGGACGGAGCCAAGCCACCAGGCCAAAACGGGCGTTTTACTTGAGAAGTCCGAATCATTTGGGTGCAAACGGGCCGTGGAACACCGAGGTCATCACCCCGTTGGGAGGTCCAGTTGCCATGCCTGCTACATCGCAGTGATCACGAGGCCATGGGAAAGGACATCTGGGGGAGAGGAGGAGGATGAGGAGGAGGAGGGGGACGATGGAGGACAATGGTGGAAGTTGGGCCACAGGAGGAGGAAATGGAGGAGGATGCAGGATGGAGTTGGATGAATGACGGAAGATGCATGACGGATGATGAAGGAAGGTGGAGGATGGAGGACGGATGATTTGGGCTGGGGGAAAAGGCGGCAGCACGCGGGCGATGGCGGCGACGGCGGCCTCCGAAGGAGCGGGAGCGGCTCGTCCTCGCGGTCGGCTACCTTGGCTCGGGCTTCCACGGCCTGCTGTCGCAGGCCTCGTGGGGCGGCGGCGCCGCCTTGCTCGCGGCGCCGCGAGGGGGCCCTCCGTGCCGACGGCCATGTTTCGACTGCGGCCTTCCGCGGGGTCCGTCCAGGATCCAGGTGCGGTGCGGTGGGAATGAGGGCGGAACGATTGGGTACGAAGTTACCGACAGCGGCTCCTGTTCGTCCTGGGCAGGGCGCGCTGCCGGTATCGCCGCGGACGCTATCCGCTTGAGGCAGACAGCCGCCTGCACAACAGTTGCCGCTGTCCGTTGTGGGCCACATGTCCTGTCGGGCATGGTAGCCGGTGATTTCGTCCCACTGCCGGCGTGCCAAGCCAAGCGAGCGCGCGAGTATGGAATCGCGCGTCGCGGTCTTGGCCAGCGCAGCTGCCCTTGTCAGGAAGGGGGCGGCGCGAGGGCGCGAAGGTGGCCGCGCGCTCTGCGCGCATCGCGGGGCGCGAGGGCGCGGATCGGGGCGACCTGGAGTGTCGGAGGAGGGCCAGGTGAGACAGCGGCGGACCTGGCCCCGACCCTCGGCTGGCTCTCGCGGCGCCTTCCCGCCCTCCGGGCAAGCTACGAGCCCAGGAGCCCGCTGCGAGGACGCTTGAGCAGCAGCCGTGGAGCGGAGGCTGGCCTGCTCTCGCCTGCCGGCCTCTTCTCTATTCTCTATCGGTGGCAATCCACAGCCCGGCGGGTAGCAGCGCAGTCTGGCGCGCCAGAGGGGGCATCTGGGCAGCCGGCGCTCCCAAGGGTTCCATCCCTTGGGCGTCGCGTGAGGGGAGGGCGATGCATGGGGGGGGCAGCGAGGGCTGCAGAAACGGGGCCCTCTTTGGGGCCCCTGAAAGGGCCCTTTAGGGCTCCAACGCGGGGCGCTTCTGGCCCGAAAAGTGAGGCGGCCTGGCTTGCCTATAGGCCCACCAAGAATTTCCAATAACTCATTGTGGTTTGCACGGGATGTTCTCAGAACATTTCTGGCCGAGCCCGTCTTGTGTTTGTTTACATCGGGTTTCTGTTCGCAGAGCATTGCTTTTGGCCTTAGCGCGCCCTTGCCCCACGAATACGCCGTGGCAGGCCCATAGGATAGCCGGGACGGCCGGTCTCTGCTCAGCCTTTCTTCCCCTCTCTGGACGCCCGAAATGGGTACGGAAAGAATGGGTACGATGCCCAACAGCAGTTCCTGTTCATTTTGAACAGGACTCGCTGTCCGCGCCGCCGCGGCCTGTGTCCATTTGAGACAGAAGGCCGCCCGCCCAACAGCGGCTGCTGTTGGTTTGGGACAGCATTCGTTGTTGGGCATTGTACCCATTTTTTAGGTACCCATTTCGGGCGTCCCAACCCTCGCAGCGATCGGGGCCAGCCAGCTGCGGGAAGCCTCGGGCGGCCTCGGAGGGCGCCGCGGGTGGTTCTGGCAGGGGCCCGAGAGGCCCGGGGGCCCCCGCGGGGGCCCCCGCAGCAGGCGCCAGGAGGCCCGCCAGGAGGCCACGAGGGTCGCCCGACGAAGCCTCGTGGATGGGCGCTCCGCGCGCGTCGGGTTTGTTCCACTGCGGGGGTTCGCGCGTCGGCCTCGCGTGCTTGCTGCGGTCCGGCCTCCTCCACACTCCACCTCTCCCCCGTAATTATCCCCCTCCCTTACGCAGCCTCGAACGTATCCCTATCCCCAAGATTGACACGCCAAAAGGCGATGACGATCTTGGGGATTCGCCCTCAAAAAATAAGGGAACCCCTAAGATTGGCATCGTGATGAGGAGGTGCCCAGCATAGGGATAGAGATATGTTCCAGGCTGGTAACTCCCTGCCACGATTCCTGCCCCTGGCTTCACGGGGCCAGGAGGGAGAGGAGGCTGGCGCCATGTCGGCCCCTGCGCGGCGCCGAGCCTCGAAGGCGCTCGAGCGAACTCCCCGCGCGGACCCTGAGCCGCCTGGAGTTCGCGGGCCGGCGCGGACCCCCGCTCGCCCTGATGTTCGGGCGTCCGCATGCGAGATGCTCAAGTGCGGCAGGAAGTGGGCCTGCCGGCGATGCCGTCGGCTGGTGCAGCCTCGCGGTTTCGTCTGAGACTGTGCGTCACTCCAGGTCTCCTTGGTGGGGTCGGAGCAGGTGGGGTCGGAGGATCGCGCCGTATCGCCGATGCATCGGCGATGCAGCTCTATGCGGAGCCCGATTTGCTTCACGCTGACGTCGCCGATGCATCGCCAGCGTCGACCATGCATCGCCGGTGCATCGCTGACACATCGCCGATACATCGGCGATGCGGCGCGATCCTCCGACCCAGTCTACTCCGACCCCGTTTAGGGGGCCTCTCGTCACCGTGCATGCGTGGCGGAGATTCTCTACGCCTGAGGCCTCCTCCCGTCTCTCCCTCCGCGGCCGCCCTCTTCCCTGCCACCTGCCTGGTGCTCACCACCCACCAGACCACCCCAACCCAACCCGAAGGCTCCAAATTGCCCTCCATTTCCAGTGGGGGGGGGGTCGGGGAATGTTGAGAAAAGACACATGAAACCCGTACGGCCCGTACCCCCCCAACCCGAAATTCGGGTCTTCGGGTGGGGTTGGGGTGGTCTGGTAGGTAGTCAGGTGCGCGTGCCGCTGCCCATGCGTGTCCCGCCGACGCGTCGACCGCGGCCGCTGGCGCTCGCCCGCGCCGCGGGCCAGGGCAGCGGCGGCGTGCGTGGCCCCCTTCGTGGACGTGGGCAGCTTGGCCGCGGCGGCGGCCAACGCCCGTGGCCCGAATCCCGTGCCTCTGGGCCTCTCAGAGCGTGAGTTACCTACCCCGCTTTCGCTTCCAGGAAAAACCAAGTCATACCACGCGCCTCCTCGTCAAGCGGCCTGACCAGTACAGGCCGTAGTTTGGCATCGTTTGGTTTCTCTTGGAAGCGAGGGTGGTCAAAAGCGAGGTAGGTTTGTTTCCCCCCTAGCCTTCCAGATGGGGTCGGAGGATGGCGCCGTAGCGTCGATGCATCGGCGATGCGGCTCGGAGTGGAGCCCGATTTTCTCCACGCTGGCGTCGCCGAGGCGCCGCCGATACCGCAGATACATCGGCGATGTATCGGCGATGTATCGGCGATGTATCGGCGATGCGGCGCGATCCTCCGACCCCACCTACTCCGACCCCATCTAGGAGGCATCTAGTGCCTGAGCCGGCCGCCTGGAGCGGCAAGGTACAAGTGCATGACGCGCACACTCGTTGGCTATGTTGGTTTTAGCGTCGGATGATGTTGTGTCGTCGCTGCGATTGGTGGCTATACCACCAGCGACTCCTGGCATTTCGTGGAGAACCACCTTGGTCTGCCAGCCTGAACCATATCCCTGTGCCATGTCGGGCCAGGGGCTTCGGTGTCGAGTCTCGAGGCGGCACTGCGTCGTCGGGTTCAGCTCGGCCCCTCCTGAGCAGGAGAAGGTTCCAAACGGTCCCCCTTCTCCATCTTCCCCCTCGTCCTTCGTTCAGTACCGTTTCGCCGACCCCTATCCCCAACCCCCTCCAGACCCCCACCATCTCACCGCCACAGTGGGTAACTTACCATGTGAAACTCGATGGTCCATCCCCAAGAAGGGGGACGAAACGTTCAGCGGGGCCCAGTCCACGCCCCCTTATGAGGACAGGGGTCGGGTAAAGGATGCTCTGTTCGTCCTTCGTCCTACTCCCTTCTTGTCCCCCTCTGCCCTGCTCCCTCCCCTGTGTAGTCGTCCTCGTCCGCCTCCTCCCCCTCCCGCGGCCCGAGGGCCAACACCGCTATCACATCCTGGCGGGATCACAGCCGCCCCCCTCTCGGCCTCCCAGCCACCCTGTCCCTCTCCTCCCCTCCCCCTGCGCCCCCTCGTTCTGCCTTCCCCCCCCCGCGCTTGGCAGGGATTTGGTGTTGGCTCCGGCCGACTCGATCCGGTTCGATTCTGATCTTCCGATTGTCCGGTGCGGCTAGAGGTGTGCGTGGGGATTGTGTGCATCCTGGCGCGGTCAATCCGGTTCGATTTCGACCCCGTGCCCATGTAGCGCGAACGGACGCACGTTCCGATCCGATCCGATGTCACGGCTCGATGCTGACAGCTCCTGCTTTTGTCCCCCCCCCCAACCCCACCCAGCGGGGCTGCCCACGGTGACGGCAGCGACGGCGACGGCGGCGGCGACCACTACATTGGCGGCGACGTCGTTTGCGGCAGCAAAGCATGGGAGCCTTGTGCGCCGTTGCGGCCGCCACGAGGAGGCGGCGTCCGCGACGAGGAAGCCTCAACGAGGAGGCCGCAACGGCGGCGGCGGCGACGACGGCGGCGACCGCCACGGCGGCGGCGCCGTCGCCGCGACTGTTCCCCGCGCAGGGCCCCCACGAGGAGGCCGCGAGGCCGACGGTGGAGGCGGCCTCCCCTCTCCGCCGACCGCTCGGGGCAGCGCTAGTCCTCCTCCTCCTCCTCCTCCTCCTCCTCCTCCTCCTCCTCCTCCTCTCCCTCCTCCTCCTCCTCCTCCCACACCAGCACCGCCGAAAGCACACTCAACCCTGACACTGACCAGCACGACGACAGCACAAACGACGACAGCAGTTCCGACGTCAAACGGCATCTAGACTTTGACGACGTCGACGACGAATCCGACATTGAACCCTGGGACCATTTCATCCGCAGGGCAACTCACACCGCCTCAGACCTTGCGACGCGCGCACAGGTGGAGAATGGGTGACGATTTATCACAAGCGTAAATGGAGATGGGCTGGGCGAGTTGCCACACAACCACACCACTCTTGGGCCCGACTGGCAGCGGCATGGGAGCCTGATATCCATGACCTTCGGGCAGCACAGCGCCCACACGGTGGACAGCGAAAACGGTGGAGTGATGATATCACAGAATTCTTACAGAGCGATTTGGTGGGCAGCGCACACGGCATATGGTTACTGAGTGTTACACATGTCAAATCCTGGACACGGACCTCGAGAGCGACTTCTTGAAGTTCATGCGCCTATGACCGGGCTCCGGCCCGCCCGCGCCGCCCCTAAGGGGCTTGCCGGCCCGCCGGCCGGCGGACTCGCGCGTCTCGTCGCGTCTCGTCTCGTCTCGTCTCCTCCTCCTCCTCCTCCTCCTCCTCCTCCTCCTTCCTCCCTCCTCCCTCCTCCCTCCTCCCTCCTCCCTCCTCCTCCTCCCTCCTCCCTCCTTCCCTCTTCCCTCTTCCCTCTTCTTCCCTACTCCCTCCTCTTTCCTCCTTTCTTCTCTCTCCGCCTTCCTGCTCCTCCTCCTCCTCCTCTTTCTCCTCCTCCTCCTCCTCCTCTTTCTCCTCCTCCTCCTCCTCCTCCTCCTCCTCCTCTTCCTCCTCCGCGCGCCGCCGCTGGCCGCCAGCGCCGCGGCCAGGCGTCCGCTGCCGCCGCCGCACGGCGAAGCCGCCGCCGCCGCGGCCGCGCAGCTCTCTCCCGCCGCCCTGCGCTAGCGCTCCTGATCCTCCCCCTCCTCCTCTTTGAGGACATTGTCCATAGCTCAGGGGCCCCTTGGAGCTTTAATGGGCACAGTGTTGTCCAGGCGGGCCTAGTGGGCCTGGAGGGCGGCTATGAGGTGCGGCCTGGGCAGCATGTGCTGTTCTGCAAGAGGTGTGGCGCTTCAATGTTTCGACAAGTACGGCGGGGCGAGGGCCTGGATGGTCCTTGCCAGGGCCTGTCGACCCCTGGTCTCCGGACGAAGCGGTCCAGACTTAGGAGGAGTCTTTTTCTCGGGCGGGTCCAAGCCAGGATCGGCGACGTATCAGGCCCGACGCCTGCGCAGGTCGAGGCATGGGCGCCGCGACTGCTGTCGCTTCAGAGCGGCGCTGGTGTCGCCGCCACGGGCGGCGAGGACAGGCTGAGGGAGCGTGCCGGTCCGCCGTCGTCGTTGTCGCCGTCGTCGTATGGGCTGTGGCTCCCTCAGTCCTCAGTCGTTGGAGTCTGATGTGGCCTCCCTTCACGGCTTCGCCTCCCCTTCCGCGGTGGTGGAATTCGCCTCGTGGTTCAAGGGAGTCTGTGCGGAGGCCACGCTTTTCGAGCTCCCGCCAGAGGAGGATTGAGTTTTCTTCTTGCGGCCGTTGTGCCGAGCGTTTCCTTCGGGATTCGATTTAGTCAGTCTTTCAGTCCCTCCTCCTCCTCATCCGCCCTCCTCCTCCTCCTACTCCTCCTCCTCCTCCTCCTCCCTCCTCCTCCCTCCTCTTTCTGTTTCTCCTCCTCCTCCTCCTTCTCCCTCCGCCTTCTGCTCCTCCTTCTCCTCCTCCTCCGTCTCCTCCTCCTCTCCCTCCCTCCTGGCGGGGGCACTCCGGTCCGCGGCGCCTCGGAATGCTCCTCCTCCTCGTCCTCCTCGTCGTCGTCCTCCTCCTCCTCCTCCTCCTCCTCCTCCTCCTCCTCCTCCTCCTCCTCCTCCCCCTTGGGAGTTCTGGGCGTTCCAGCCGCGAAGGTCTTACCACTTTGGCCGCGGCTCGATCTAGGGCCAAACGTGCAGAGGGCCCATGTTGCCGCTCCTGTGGGCAAAAAAGCAGGGTCCGACGCACGCTTGGAGCTGGACGGGATGTTTTTAACAGTGTTCTAGATGTTTTCGTGGATCACGTTCAGCCGACAAGCCGCCCGCGAGCTTGTGCCGTGGTGGCGCGGGCGTCGGGGCCCGTGGCATGGATGTTCCTTCGTTTTCTGCTCTGGGGCACAGCATGCTGTTTCCTGACGCCTCGGACGGCAGTTTTGATGTTGTTGTATCTTTTAAGTGCATGCTCTACACTGGAGGTGGGCAGGTTCGAGGCCTCCGACAGCCCTGCCAGCCGATCCCCAAGGCTGGAGCTCAGGGTCCGAAGCACGCCTGGAGGCAGATCGCGAGGGGACGGCATCCCGAGCGCGGAGGCGTAACGGTCTCTGTTGGCCCCTGGGCCAGTATGGAGGAGTTGGCTCCCTCTGTTGACACCCTCCTCCCGGCCTTGGAGGAGGATGGTCACGAGAGACGCTGGGCCGATTCGGCTCAGCGCTGCCTCTCGGCTGCCACTTCGAGCCTGCCTGAGGATCCTGGGCGTCGCTGGCCAAAGCCAGCACGCACCATTCCTCACCGCGGAGGCAGCGACACCGATTAGGCAGAAAGGAGCTTGCCCCACAACGATAACAACGATAACAACGATAACAACGATAACGATCAATGCTTTTCTCCTGCTGTACTCGCTGGAAGTTCCAGGCTCGAGCAAGCTTAGCCAGCGAGTTCACACCCAGGGTCGGCAGAGTCCTGGGCGGGCCTTTTTTGTCCCGTGTCACGTACTTACAGCGAGTACAGCAGGAGAAAAGCATTGATCGTTGTCTGGTCAGTTGGTGGGGTTGGGTGTCGGGTCCTATTCTGGGGTCACCCCGAGTCAGTGCCCGCCCCGCCCTGCCTCGTGGTGTCTGGCTGAACTTCGCCTTTGGGTTTTCCTTCATGCGTTGCTGGCTTGTGCCAGCGCGCTGCTTCCCTCCCTGTGGTGGCAACGGCACTTTTCAGACATTTAGGGGACTGCCCCATATTTGTCTGGATGTATCTTGGAGTCGTGGGTCGGGTCCTGTACCGGGGTTGCCCCGAGACAACACCCGCCCGTTTTAGCCCAGAACGGGCCCGTTCTTGGCCAGAGCAGGGCCGTTTTGGTCTAGAACGGGGTCGTTCTAGTCCAGAACGGCCCCTTGTTCTGCCCTGGTGGCGCCAGGCGGGGCTTCACCTTTTTTTCCTCTCGCCCAGCTTGCGTGTGCGGGTACAAACTTCGAGCCTACCTGTTAGAGGTCGTTCTTTGTTTGTGTGTTTGTGTGTGTGTTTGTGTGTGTGTGTGTTTGTTGCCCCCGGGGTCTCGCCCTCCCCTGAGGTGACGTACAGGCTGCGTGTTGCGCTGCGGCAAAAAATATCCTCCTCCTCCTCCTCCTCTCCTCCTCCTCCTCCTCCTCCTCCTCCTCCTCCTCCTCCTCCTCCTCCTCCTCCTCCTCCTCCCCCTCGTCCTTCTCCTCCTCCTTCCTCTCCTCGTCATCCTCCTCCTCCTCTTTCTCCTCCTCTTTTTTCACTCCTCGTCTCCGCTTCCTCTGCCATGCCAGGCCAGGCATGCCTTCCCACTCTCGATGCCGCTTCCAGGAGGCACCATCGTGAGGGATTCCCTCAAACATCCAGCGTGCGAGCCTGGTCCCGTCTCCCTTGTCCATTACTCTTCTCTTCCCCCCCCCCCGTCCTGTCTCCTCCCTGCTCGCCGCGCTCCCGCTCGAGGCGTGTCCGCGATGTGCTGCAGCAGCTTGGGCCCCCCCCCCTGATCAGCCCTTGCAGCTTACCCAGGGAGTCGTGCGCGCACCTCGGCCCCGGCCACCGCCTCCGTGAGGACCAGGAGCGCCCGGATTTTTTTTCCCAGGGCACGGTCCGACAACAACAGTGGCATCGAATTGTTCGCTTGCGTCTGGCCCCTCCTCGCTCCTCTCTCTCCTCGCTCCTCGCTCCTCTCTCTCCTCGCTCCTCGCTCCTAGTGACAACAGAAATGGCCCCTCCTCGCTCCTCTCTCTCCTCCCTCTGGGAACCCATGTCCTCGGGGAGATTTCAGGCGGAACGGGCCAGACCACCTCCTGGCGCGGCATCTCGGAGCCCAGTTGCGAGGGTGTCTCAAGCGAAAGGCCCCAGGCGAAACGAGCAGGACCACGCCGCGCACATCTTCAAGCGAGGCTGTCTCAGGCGAGACGCGCCAGACCACCTCGAGCGCAGCATCTCGGAACCCCGAATTGCGACGATGTCGCAGGCGAAACGGGCTGGACCACCTCGCGTGCGACATCCTGGAGCTCTGAGTTGCGAGGATGCCCCAGGCGGCGCCTGGACCCCTCCCATAGCACAATGTGACAACAGATGGGTGATCACATGGCTCGTTTGGTCTGACTCCTCTTCCCTCTCGGAACCCACAGTTTCGAGGATGTCTCAGGCGAAACGAGTTGGACCACCCCGCGCACATCATCAAGGAGCCCAGAGTTGTGAGGATGTCTCAAGCGAAACAGGACAGTTTCCCGGGCTTCTGCACCGCCGACTCCTTGGGGGTGTCGTAGATGCCTGCCAGTGGGGGCCTCGTTTATGCCTTCTGGGGGTCCGGTAGGCCTCTTGGGTCTGGGTTGCGGGTTCGACGCCGTTCGGATGGCTGATGGGGTCGCGTGGGAGGCGCGTCGGGGGCGTCATGGAGGCAGTTTTTGAACCTATTGGGGTCCTCCTGGAGGCGTCTGGGGGCTTTTGGGGGGGCCTTTGGGGGGGCCTTTGGCGCCCTTTGGGGGCCTCTTGGAAGTTTTTGGGGGTCTCTTGGGGACATCTTGGGGACGGGAGCTCGACATGTCCGTTCTTGCTCCACCTCTAGGCCTCCCCTTGGGGCCGTCCTCGGGGCCTCCTCGGCCGTCTTGGAGGC